AAAAAAAAAAAAAAAAAACCAAAAAAAACACCCCCCCTCCAAAAAAAAAAAAGTAGGTTCACCGTAGTGGCAAGTTATCTTTTGCTTTGTAAGTAGTATCGCAAGTAAGTGGTTTCACTCTTCGGACTTGTAATCTGATTAATGATTTCATATTAAAGATTAATTATTGTCTGTGCTTGAAAGCACAGAGTAATAAAAAATAATAAATAATAAACATATTTGTATTTATATTTAAAATCAAATCACAAACAAATAGAAGAAATAAAAGAATTTAAGCATCAATTTGTAGTGGGGGTGAGAGGTGGTAGATGACAATGGTGGTGATATGAGACGGTGATAGTTGTGGTGGGTGGCAATGACCGTGGTGGGGGTGGTGGAGCGCGAGGGCGGTGGCGGTGGTGGTGGTGGCGACGGCGGCGGCAACGGTGGTGACGACGACGATGACGGTGATGGGGGTGGTGGCGGCAGTGGTGGTGGTTGTAGAGGTAGTGGTGAGACGATTTCAAACACTATTTTTTTAAAAGTATTTATGAAAAATAATTTTTAAAAATAATTTTAAAAAATTACTTGCTATATCGTGAATAGAATACGATCCACTACGGCATCCAATGTCATTAGAGCCGGCATGTTTATCACCAACCCTAAATAGAAAAAAATATTTGGTGTAACCTGTTTGGATGTTTATTTTTTGGGAGGTTTGGATTAGATTTATAAAAATTTTTCAAATTCAGTCCCAAGGATTTGTACATCAGATTCAAACAAAAATACAATTCAATCTCATATTTGGTAAGTGACATAAATACATGTTAGATCTATGAATTCATGTCAAATCATATTTACTCAATTTACTAAAATGTCTATTATTGGGTGAATAAAATATATATTTTTTAATAAAATAATCTTTTTATCTATGAACCCAACCTCTCATTTTTGAAACACATCTCCCCATAGGTTTCATCAAACCCTCTTTTTTGAGTTTTAATCAACTATTTACAACGTGACATAATTCATTTACTATGTGAATCTGGAGTCTTAAATCTTAAATCAATCACGAGTTTAAAAAATGTATTATACTATTTTCATAAAATTCACCATTTAAATTTCATTCATACCAAACATGCCCAAGTAGTTGGCTTGTTAAAGAACACAAGATCCCATTATCTTTTCAAGTAACCAACAATTCACCTATACACCGTTGAAAGGTAGAGCTGTTAGTCGAACGACCTCGAGTTGAATTCGAGTCGAGCTTGAAAAGTTTGTTTCTTAATCGATTTTTAAAAATTGTTCAAGTTCGGCTCGTTTAAGAAACGAGTTGACCCTGAACGAGCCGAACCCGAGTCGAGCCCGANAAAGGTAGAGCTGTTAGTCGAACGACCTCGAGTTGAATTCGAGTCGAGCTTGAAAAATTTGTTTCTTAATCGAGTTTTAAAAATTGTTCAAGTTCGGCTCGTTTAAGAAACGAGTCGACCCTGAACGAGCCGAACCCGAGTCGAGCCCAAATATTTGTACATAAACGAGTCGAGCTTGTATGGGCTTGTGTTTCTAAATGGGCCTAAAAATTTATTCAAGTTCAGGCTCATTTAGAAAACGAACCGATTTTAAACGAGTCGAACGCAAGCCGAGTATCTCGGTTTAATTAACAGACGTAAACAATTGGAGCAGTTTGAATTTGTGTCAGACACATCTCAGTTTTGTCTTGCCCACACTCGTTCTAAATCCAAAATGGACGATTTTCCGTGACCAACAAATCGAATTCAAATAACTCTCAATAGGCTCGGCTCAATTTTAATAAGTTCATGTCTATAAATAATTTTAATTTTTGGGTAAATTTCATATTTAGTCCTTGAACTTTGACTTCAATGACAATTTAGTTCCTAAATTTTCAATTATTTTAATTTAATCCCACTATTAGATCAAATGAAAACATATGATCTAATGGTGGAAATTTATCAGATTGAATTACTCTCCATTTGATCTAACGGTAAAAATAGATAGAATGACTTAATTAAGACAAAATTAATAATTGATAGACTAAATTAAGAGAATTAAAACTGAAAATAAATTTCAGAAACTAATTTTAATTTTTACCCTTAATTTTATTCCCACCCAACGGTTATCCGAAAGCCCCATCTTGATTATCAGTAGGCCTCCCAAGAAGAGATTATGTTATAAACTCAATGCATCAAGTGAAAAATTACAATTCCTTCGTATTGAATGACACTCGTTAATATCCACATGGATGAATCTCACTTTGTATATTGAAAAATGTTTCAATTTTTAATTTGCAATTTCAATGTTATGGATTGGTAGTAATGTGGATCTGATCTAAACTACCAATCAATTTTTTGTCATAAATTAAAGTACGTGAGATGTAAATACTTAGGACATGAGGATGATGTATGTCCAAATCTTTGTTTGTAGACAATTTGACACTGTTTTGTGTATCGAGAATATAGTCTCCTCAATTAGGTATATGTAAACCAAATTATGTACAACTCACATAAGGGGTCAACAATTTGTGAATTTACATATAAACCTATGCCCAAAACACTTGTAACTAACGTTCTTCAATTTATGACAGAAAACTGAATAACAGTCTGAGCGAAATCCACAACATTGAAGGTGCAAATTGAAATTTTTAGTATTTAAAGATATAAATTGAGAATCTATACATTTTTCAAAAGGCAAAGTGAGATTAACTCTATCCAAATTATGAAACATAAAAGATACAAGGGAAACAACAACAACATACATAAATAGATATGACCGAACATAACGCACATCCCCATTCATTGATTCTTTATGCCCTACCAATTCAAATCATAAAAAAAATAAAAATGGGATGTAGATCTAGACTTAGCAATCTAGCGAAGCTCAGATTCTGAACAAAGGAAACGATGATATCACAATTCACACCAATGAATGAGGCGAGGCGTTCGGGTAGAACATGAAGAAATGAAGGTCAAGTCTTTGATTTTGGATAAATCGGTCCTCTTTTTGAGTTCTCTAAGAANAAATGAAGGTCAAGTCTTTGATTTTGGATAAATCGGTCCTCTTTTTGAGTTCTCTTAGAACAAAATGTGCAATTTTATATTCCTTTTTTATGTTGTTGTTGTTAATAATTTACATATTTCTTTCGTTCTGTTGAAAGATTTCATCTTAGATAGATAACTTCGTTGAAAATGTAGTTTTGTTGCGTGTTGTTGTGAGTCCAAATACGAAAAGCTAACTACATAATAATAATAATGATGTAATAGACATGCTTTCATATCCAAGTCATAAGGCATTCTTAACAATATTTGGTCACTATCCTTCTTGCAACTAGATGACTAAAAGTGCACTACGATGAAAAACTCAAATGTATTAAATTTAAATCTTGATAATTTTTTGGAATTAGATCAAGAGCAATTTATCTTTCATGCTCTATTGGCAATTTTGCGTTGCAAAAATTGGTTTTGTTTCTAGTTAGCCTCTGGAAGTACTTGGCTATGCCTCGCCGATGTACTTCTCTCATGGGTTTGGGCTATTATGGTTACGTCCAGATTGGAGTTCCACCCAATTGTTCTCTCATGCAAAATTCTAACCCAATTGTTCTCTCACGCAAAATTTCATCACAATTGCTCTCTCTGGACTATTTCATGTCGGATAGTTTTGGGTGTGTGTATGTGTTTATAAGTCTCCACCTAGCCCTTACTTTGTTAGAGTAATTGGTTAGGTGTGAATCAAAAAAATCAAGACCTTTCTAAATGGGGCGTTCGGTATTGGGCTGGAATCCCACATTTTGAGCCTTTAGGCCTTGCGGTAATGGTAATCATACTGGGGTGTCGGAGGACTGGATTATCCCACATTGAATAGTTTCAGGTGTATGTGTGTGTTTATAAGTTTTCACCTACCTCTTACTCTGTTATAATAAGTGGTTATGTGTGAATTAAAAAAAATTGCTCTCTTTATTAATTTATAAAAAAAATATAATATCTGAAATTAAGTAAAAGGGTGACGGTGTCCCAATATCTTTTTAAAAGGAGATTTTTATAGTACCAAAAAAAAAATTGGAATATGTACTTACGTTTATTACTTTTGTGAATGTTTTTACCATTTTTATGATTGTTTTTATCATTTTTGTGATATTTAAGAAAAATGATAAAAATAATTATTACAACAATAATAAAAATACTTACAAAAATGAAAAAAACATCCACAAAAGTGGTTAATCACTTACAAATTTGTAATTTTTTGTACTGAAAAAAGTGTTAAAAATAATTACCACAACAATAATAAATTGTCTAGAAAAAATATAAATTTTTTTATTATAAAAATATCCATAAAAGATATAAAAACACTTGAAAAGTAATAAATTTTGGATGTATAAAATTGGGTACCCAAGAGTCAAGTCCTTTTAAGAGATTTCCCTCTGGCTTAGACATGTTAGACCATCTACCCCTTTCTGTCTTATCGTTATCTGTGTTTGTGTGCTGCTTGTGCTTTAATGGCGTCGTCGTGTTGATCAAAAATTTTTAAATTTTCGCTCTTAGTTAAGATGAAATTTTTTTTTTTAATTTTTAATTTTTTTAAAAATATATATACATATTTTACCATTGTATTTTTATANAAATGAAGGTCAAGTCTTTGATTTTGGATAAATCGGTCCTCTTTTTGAGTTCTCTAAGAACAAAATGTGCAATTTTATATTCCTTTTTTATGTTGTTGTTGTTAATAATTTACATATTTCTTTCGTTTTGTTGAAAGATTTCATCTTAGATAGATAACTTCGTTAAAAATGTAGTTTTGTTGTGTGTTGTTGTGAGTCCAAATACGAAAAGTTAACTACATAATAATAATAATAATAANGATAACTTCGTTAAAAATGTAGTTTTGTTGTGTGTTGTTGTGAGTCCAAATACGAAAAGTTAACTACATAATAATAATAATAATAATGTAATAGACATGCTTTCATATCCAAGTCATAAGGCATTCTTAACAATATTTGGTCACTATCCTTCTTGCAACTAGATGACTAAAAGTGCATTACGATGAAAAACTCAAAAGTATTAAATTTAAATCTTGATAATTTTTTGGGATTAGATCAAGGGCAATTTATCTTTCATCCTCTATTGGCAATTTTGCGTTGCAAAAATTGGTTTTGTTTCTAGTTAGCCTCTGGAAGTACTTGGCTATGCCTCGCTGATGTACTTCTCTCATGGGTTTGGGCTATTATGGTTACGTCCAGATTGGAGTTCCACCCAATTGTTCTCTCATGCAAAATTCTAACCCAATTGTTCTCTCACGCAAAATTTCATTGCAATTGCTCTCTCTGGACTATTTTATGTCGGATAGTTTTGGGTGTGTGTATGTGTTTATAAGTCTCCACCTAGCCCTTACTCTGTTAGAGTAATTGGTTAGGTGTGAATCAAAAAAATCAAGACCTTTTTAAATGGGGCGTTCGGTATTGGGCTGGAATCCCACATTTTGAACCTTTAGGCCTTGCGGTAATGGTAATCATACTGGGGTGTCGGAGGACTGGATTATCCCACATTGAATAGTTTCAGGTGTATGTGTATGTTTATAAGTTTTCACCTACCTCTTACTCTGTTATAATAAGTGGTTAGGTGTGAATTAAAAAAAATTGCTCTTTTTATTAATTTATAAAAAAAATATAATATCTGAAATTAAGTAAAAGGGTGACGGTGTCTCAATATCTTTTTAAAGGGAGATTTTTATAGTACCAAAAAAAAAAAAAAATTGGAATATGTACTTACGTTTATTACTTTTGTGGATATTTTTACCATTTTTATGGTTGTTTTTATCATTTTTGTGATATTTAAGAAAAATGATAAAAATAATTATTACAACAATAATAAAAATACTTACAAAAATGAAAAAAACACCCACAAAAGTGGTTAATCACTTACAAATTTGTGATTTTTTTTACTGAAAAAAGTGTTAAAAATAATTACCACAACAATAATAAATTGTCTAGAAAAAATATAAATTTTTTTATTATAAAAATATCCATAAAAGATATAAAAACACTTGAAAAGTAATAAATTTTGGATGTATAAAATTGGGAACCCAAGAGTCAAGTCCTTTTAAGAGATTTCCCTGTAATTCTCTGGCTTAGACATGTTAGACCATCTACCCCTTTCTGTCTTATCGTTTTCTGTGTTGGTGTATTGCTTGTGCTTTAATGACGTCGTCGTGTTTAGTCGAAAATTTTTAAATTTTTATTCTTAGATTAGATGGAAATTTTTTTTTTTTTTAATTTTTTAATTTTTAATTTTTTAAAAATATATATACATATTTTACCATTATATTTTTATATAAAATTAATGTATACATAAGATATATAGACAAATAAGATACATCTCAACAAAAATAATTAATTTTTCATTCACTTCCTTTTTAATTTTAGAGGGATTGATTTTGGTGAGTTAGAAGAAAAGTTAATTCATCCACTTTTTCATCCTTTTTACTTTCCTTCTTTACCAAATATAATATTTTATTTATTCCTCAAATTTTTCATCCTCTTACTTTTCAATCGTACCAAACGAAACACTAATGTTTAGCCGGATCCTTTTGGATGCTAGGATTCCTCCTAAATTTCTTCCCTGTTTGTCTGCCTGTTAGGATGTGCTGAAATGTTCTCCTATAATTAAGACAACGTTCCTGTCAATTCAGCCTTGTCTACCTCTCTTGCTTGTCGAAGGATCTGTGTGAAAAGCTGTTTGTCAGTTGTGCTCGGTTGTGCTGTTATATTTGTTATTTTGGCAGCTCGGCCCATTAAGCCAAGCACTAGTCATCTGCTCTGTTTGACCGTGATGGATATCGTGTGTCCCCCACGTGTTTCTCGCACGTGCTCTTGATCACGTGTTTTGAGGTTCATGATACTGTTTTAATAATGAATAGTCACTCAATGTATGTGGTTAATTGTGACGGAGGGAATGTTATAGGTGGTTAAGCAAATGAAAGCATAGGATATTAATGAGACTTTTAATTTGCTAATAACCAGTAACCATCAATAAAGGGAGAGGACACCAAACCTCCTTCTCTCCCTTTATTAACAATATAGATAATTACGTGTACCCCTTGTGAAGATACAATGACATAGAAGATGATCATGGGAGTTCTCTCTAAATACTAATATTTTCAATCAATGTGTTCTACTTTGAATATTTTTTTTTTTTGGAAAAAAGGGGGAGGGACGACTATTAGGTAGTAATCTTTAGGCATAATTATGAGGGTCTCCCATTGTGGAATGTCCGATTTAAATCATAGCTACTCACTAGAAAGAGCAGTTTGTCACCATAACACCACTAAAGTTAAATAGTAAATTATGCTGCTCCTATGAATCGAACCTACTTGATAACCATATGAGAATCAGGGATGATCATTAACAAGTGCGGGTTAACACTAGACCACCAGCTCGGGTGGTATCTATGGTTTATTTATGGCTAACTAAAGCAGAAAATTTGTGATAGACCTTGACAAATGAATCCAACCAACTCATGCCAGACGCTTTGTTAATTTCCCTTGTGTACAAGTTACAACATACTATATCCACCGGGATATAGCTTTCAATTTGCTGATAGAAGTCATACAAGCCAGCCATTGTTTATGAGTTATACTGCTGACTATGGCAATTGACATCTCTGCTTCATGTATGATCACCTGCATACACACCGACAGGATATCCATTATTTCATATGCCAACCTATCTTATTTAGCCATTTTACCTGGATTATACTAACTACAAGAGGATCTGTGATGTTTCATATCGGGGCCTCCAGGATTAAATTGCAAGGATTACCTAAGAGAAAACAATTGATAATTTTAATATTTGTTCCGCAATAATTTTAGCCCATGTTGAACCCATTTTATCTGCTCCATAGTAATTTATATTAAGTTCAGACTAATCCCTTCTTACTAACGCATGCATCATGCATATAGGTTGTTAAATTCTTGGAAAAGCAATCCCTGCATAAGTAATAGCCTATTGGTCACCATGCTGCCCATAATGATGTTTACTAAACTATGTTATCCCAGCAGCCAGGGTGCGGTTTTGACATATCAAATTTATCCTTTTGAAATATCTTCCACAGCAATTCAATTTAGTTGGCACCCTACAAACATTGTAAGCAGAAATGTGTTCTCCACAAACAAACTGTCACTGTAATGGTTCAGATCATTGGGTTTCTTAAACAAATTAGTAAGTTTACTGTTGAATTCAGGACTAAGTTTTGGTTACGCAGCTATTAATTGTTTTTGCTGCGTGTTTGATTTAAAAGATTATGCAGTAATTAGGCTACATGAAAATGTCATGGTATTGGCCTTTTTTAGCCTTTAGAGTTTGATATAATGGCTGTCCCAAGTAATTTTCATTTCCAGTAGAACATGTAACCAGCCGAACCAGTAATCACGTTTGTGGTGGTTATATGTGCAGATAACCGGAAGAGCTCCAAGTTTGAAGCTGGTTTCCATTGGGTGGGCAAGAAATGGTTCCCATTCTTTGAGAACCTTGCGCTTCCAAGTCTCTTGTGTGGTATTTTTATTTTCCCCTTCTTCTTGTTGCCTAACTAGCCATCAATTTTCCACTTCTAATAATCTCTCTCTATAAAGGAAAAGCATTCTATGTGTCTCATGAATGAACTTGAACTGGCTTTTTTGGCAGGCAAAGCCTGAGACAGTGCAGAAAGTATGTGAAATTGTGAGGAAGCAATTGGCTTTGCATCCCGAGTCAGATCTCACCTCTGCTTCCAAATTTTCAGATCTTGGTGCCGATTCCCTTGACACAGTAACTGCCATCGTCCTACTAGTTTGATGTTTGTATGATAGTTTTTTAATCAATTGCAAGACGGGAGAGTGTGTTGACCTAGATGCAATCCAACTCCCTATTATAGTTGTTCGATCAACTTAGAAAGGATTTTGACCATATGAAAATGAGCAGGTTGAAATAGTAATGGGGCTTGAGGAAGTGTTTGACATTAGTGTGGAAGAGGAGAACTCTCAGAGCATAACCACTGTTCAAGAAGCAGCTGACTTGATAGAAAAACTTGTTCAAAAGAAAACTGAAGCTTAGCTGCTGACGTGATAGGAAAATGAGAGATCAATTAAAACTCCTTGATATGAGGTAGGACTATTTGATGGATCTTGTTTTGACTTCTTTTCTACTTTTATATTGTTAAGAAAGCTATAGTGACATCCAAGTACCATTCTTTAAAGTCCTGTTTCCGGCGAGAAACAACCAATTTGCATAAGCAATTTCGTAGAAACAACCTGATGGGACTCTTCTGAAAAGCCTATGATGAAGACACGTGTTCTCGGGGGTTTCTAGAACAATGTTGCTCGGGTTCAAGCACCATCGGCAAAAGCGTCCTCTCCCCCGAGGTACCTCTCATATAGGATCACATATTCGGTGCATTATACAACGACACGTGTCCTCGGTCACCATGTACCTCGGAAACACACCACCCCTTGGTCCCCCGAGGTGAGCCTTTCCTCGGTGCCGAGGGTCACTCCATCCTGGACGCTTCCTCTACTCACGGATAAAATTACTGACGTACGGGACATCAGCCTATGCCAGTCTAGACTATTCATCATGACCTCGTCTTACACAAGTAATGTCAGAACATGCTGGAATACAGAAGTCATAGCCAATACGTGACGGACGCGTGGCATACGATATCACATCAAAAACAGGCAAACCGCATGCTATTGCTGACATGCGCTTTGGGAAGCAAACAATTAATTGCACCCTTCTGTTGACGAGACCGCATTCAATGCGGTAAGGTTCGGATATGAAAGGCAATAAATGCTCCTATTACGGAGCATTTATTACATCCTCCCCGAAAGGAGCATATTGTACCGTCGGCGTCCCGACGACTCAACATTGATTGCTCGGGACCCCGAGCAGTCAATTAGAGAAGACATTCCTCGTCAAATCAATACACACGCTACCAGTGCCTGATGATCACCTACTGACCACACTGACAGCAATCATGAGCTTCTGAGGTATAAATACTCCTCCCAAAAGGCAAAGCCGGTATGCAATCACAAACTCTCAACTACGAAATATCCTTCTCAGTGTTTTCTCCTTCCTCTCTCTCATTCAAAGACTGACTAGACCGTCGGAGGGGATACGCCGGAAAACACTCCGGCGCCCTTCTAACTTGTTCTCCTTTGTTCCAGGAAATACCTTTCACACGTACAGGATCGTTCCTCCTTTCCCAGGATCTCCCTTTGCCGTTTCCGGTTGCCACCGTACCTTGTAGGCTGTTTCAAGCAGCGTGTTTGGCTACTCAACCGGCTCACCCAAAGTTCACCAGGGGAGAGATCTGTTCCCAATATTTTATATATCGTGCAGGATCGAGCCCGCACAATCTGGCGCCGTCTGTGGGAAACGAGTAGTTTTCCTAATCTTTTCTCTATAAAGAACAGTGACCATGGTGAACACCAGACAGAAAGGGAAGGGACCCTACCAAAGGAGTCATGAGTTGCAAGCTCCCTGCCATCACGGGGGGAGGGATCGGACCAGTACGATTAAAAGTGCCTCTACTCGGTCAAGGGGGGTAACCCCCCAAACCAGTATGGGGATCAGGTCAGGAGGATCAGCCCCCTTGGCCCGTCAGCTGGCAGAGGTGATAGAAGAGAAATTTGGCGATAGATTACGTCAGCTGGAGAAAGACAATGTAAACGTCCTTAGCCGGCTCGACGAGTTTGCTGCCTCAGGCGGAGGGTCGAGGGATTCATTCCTCTCCCGAGGACTCCCCGTCCATGAGGCGGAGACAAAGGATCTAAGGAACCACCTGGATCACAAAGCAGAAAGCTCCAGGGCCCCGAAGCGACCCAAGGCCGGCGAATGCCATCTTGACAACCATTCCAGGAAAGCAAGGCCATTGGCCCTGGACGACCTCCGGCGAGGTTTATCCAGACGGAGGAAGGGAGATGAATCCGAGGAGGACTCAACCCAATCTACACGACGCCCAGGAAACGAGGGGCTTACCGACGAACCCAGAGACTTCAGGAGGCATCCCGTAAGGGAAGAAGTAGATCTCAGAGCCCGATTGGACTCCAGAAGAAAGGGTAAGGCGATCCAGGACGAGGCCGAGGACGAAGTCATGCAAACACCCTTCACGAGGGAAATCAGTGAGATGGATGTCTCAAGAAAGTTCGTCGTGCCACGGTTCAAGACCTATGATGGGCGATCTGATCCCGATGCCCATATCAGACAATATAAGCAGATGATGTCCCTCTATCATTCGGACCAACGGTTTCTATGCCGGGTGTTCCCTATGAGCTTGGGGGACTCTGCGATGAGGTGGTTCGAGGCGCTTCCCCCAAACAGTATTGGGTCCTGGAAAGAATTGACAAGGCAGTTCCTAACCCGATTCATCACGGGGAGTAAGCGCCCAAAGGACATTGGATCACTGCTGACCCTCAGGAGGAGGGAATCCGAGACTCTTCGCCAGTACGCCATCCGATACTGGGAAGAAGTCAATGAGGTCGAGGGATGCTCGGAGGTCATGGCAGCAGCATCATTCCGGCTCGGCTTGGCGAGGGACACGGACCTGTACCGATCCCTGACCAAAAAGACTCCCTCGGATATGGGGGAACTGATGGCCCGGATCAACAAGTACTCAAGGGTCGAGGACGAGATGGGGAGCAACAAAGGCCGAGCCCTCCAACCCAAGAGAAAGGAAAAAGAGCACGAAGATATTCCCCGGAAGGGATTGCTACCCCGTCCAGGGGGTTCGTCCAGAGAAGTTCACACCGTCTTCAAGGAACCAATCTTCAGGTTGCTCCATAAAATCAAACACGAGCCGTTCTTCAAATGGCCGCCCAGGATGCAAAGCGACCCCTCCACCCGTGATCAAACAGTAAGGTGTTCATATCACCGGGACGTCGGGCATCGCACCGAGAGCTGCAGGGTGTTCAAGTCATTCTTGGAAAGCTTAGTCCGAGATGGATACCTAAAAGAATACATAGAGCCTAGGCCGGCAGAGAAACGAGCCCTTGCTCCGACCGAGGAACCAAACAACGTCATAGACGTCATCCATGTGTGTCCACTGGAGCGCCCCACGTCCAAAGAGCTCGAATCCGACCTCAAGAGGGTAGCTTTTACCAGAAAGGTAGCCGAAGGAGATGTGGGGCCATCAAGTAAAAGGGCCAGGATGGGTGAGCTTGGCATTACGTTCTCTGACGCGGATTTGACAGGGGTGGTGATTCCTCATAACGACGCCCTTGTCTTAACCCTAAAGATAGGGAAATTCGATGTCAAGAGAATCTTGATAGATTCAGGGAGCTCCTCGGAGGTGATGTACTTCGAGACTTTGAAGCGGATGGGCTTTGGCCCCAAAGACTTAACCAAAATCAGGACACCCCTCATCGGGTTCAACGGCTCTTTCGCCTTGCCCGTGGGGAAAATTACATTACCGGTCGCCACTGGTCCCTTCGTCATCGACACAGAGTTTGTGGTGATCGACACGGACTC